GTTGATTTATGTTGTATGATGCTTATGCTGATGAATGTTGTTATGCCGAGCTGTGTTGTATGCTGCCTAAGCTGTTAATGTTGTTAAGTTGAGCGGTGCTGAGTGTTGAATATGCTGTTTAAAATAGTTGAGCTATGTTGTTGAATATGAGCTGTGTAGGCCGTAAGACTGAGCTGTTAATCACTAAGATTAGAGGAGATGTTTTTCAAAGTTGTTCATCCCTTTGTGTGGTGAGGAAGCTGTGGTGCTCTTAGAGCCCAAATTGTTGAAAACCCTCCTTGGGAAGCTGTTCCTTGGAGTGGTCACTATGTTGTTCTCCTCTAAGTACTTAGTTGGTCCCGTGTGTGGGCAACGTCGAGGCACACGTGTACAAAGCAACCACGATATAGGGGCCAGGTTGAGCTATACCGCTTACAAGCGACCAAATCGAGTTGAAATGCGTGACAATGCATAAGCTGTTAGATGTTGATTTTGTTGAATGATATGAGTTGTATGTGTGCAGTGTGTAGTGAAGCTAAGATGTAGATGTATGTTGTTGTGTGTTGTATGTAAAATTTGTTGAGATTGATGATGTGTTAAGTTGAAGCTACTATTAATTTCTTTATATGCTGATTCTTTTCACTAGCTTACATTTGCCTGTTTTCATGTGGGTTGGACTGCAATGATCATACTATGTATGTGAGCAGAGCATGGATATGTTGGAATGTAGTAGCAGGACTGCAATTGACAGATGGAGCTGATGTTTTGTTGTTTATGGCTACATAGTGTAGCTAGGCTGATATTTTTTGTATATTGACTTGTTGAGTCCCAGGCTAGACCTATGTATATATATATTTTATTTATATGTATACTCTATTTTGTGTGGTGTTGTTTGTTGTGCGACGGCTAGGCGGGTCGTTACAAAGTACAACTCTGTTTTATGTTGTGGGAATACATGATATATTTTAATGTGAATATGAGTTGCATACATGTTGATTGAGTTGTTATAAAGTGTTGAATGTGTTGTGTGGTGGAGTTGTTTTGTAAGTTGCATGTTGTTTCATGTGTGAAATATTAATATGTTGTTGAAGCATGTTGAGATGATAGAGTTGTGAACTTGTAGTGATGGGTAGAGTTGATATATGAGTTGTTTTTGTTGAAAAACCGTATTGTTAAAAATGTGTTGTTGTGCTATGTTGATGAGATGTGTTGAACACTTAGGACTAGAGGAGATATTTTTGAAAATTATTTATCCCATTGTGTGGATTGAGTGTATTGTGATGCTCTAAGAACCCAATTTGCTGAAAACCTTCATTGGGAAGTTGTCCTTTGGAGTGAATGTCATGTTGTTCTCCTCTAAGACTTAGTTGGTACCTTGTGTGGACAAGGTCAATGCACATATGTATGAAACAACTACAGAATAGGGGTCAGGCGACCAAAAATTGAGTAAAGTATGAAGTTAGGAACTTAGTTCCTAACCGAGTATCGAAAAGTTATAGTATTTGGAGGATAGTCGGTAAGCTAATCCCATAAGAAGCTTAGTCAAGCTAACTAATGTCGTGATAGGCCTAAGCCCAGTTGTTATATCTTGATATAGTGTTATACTTCATTGTTTAAGTGGCGAAGTCTAAGAAACTAAGTTTTCATGTTGTGGATTGATATTCAATTTGTTGTTGATCTATCAACACCGAAAAAATCACTTGCATTTTTGATTCAGTAGGATCTAGCCACTTAAATTGCTCACCCTATGTTGTAGGAGATCTCCGAGTAAAAATGTGTGACGACACATAAAGATGATGTGTTGAACTGTGTTGATAGGTGTTGCTGTGTTGATTTAGTGTTGAACTGTGTTGATAGGTGTTGTTGTGTTGATTTAGTGTTGAAATGTGTTGAGATGTGTGTTATTCATATGTTGGTTGACTTGTGAAGAAATGAGTTGTTGTGTTGATTAAAAATTGCATTGTGTTGTGTGTTGTATGTTGTGATGTTAAGTTATAGAGTTGTTTAAGATGTGATGATGTTGTGATGATAGTAGAATGTTTAAAGAGGGTTCAAATGACACCGATGTAACTTTTACTAAGTATTACACCGATGTAACTCTATATTAAATGTGAATTTTATATATTCAACCGTTAGATTGAAAGTTCTTTACTCTTATATTATATATATACACAAAATTTTATATTAATCCAAGATATTTTGATACTTTATTCCTATAAAACAAAATTGAAGTAATATAAACATTTGAAAGTATAATCAAATATGAACACTTTGATTAGTTTCAAGTTATTGTTTAATTTTAATAAATTTTGATATAAACATATAAAGTGATATAAAATTATAATTCAATGATTGAATTTATAAAATTCACATTTAATATAAAGTTATTAAATGGTGTAATAATACTTGGTAAAAGTTATATATATATATATATATATATATATGTGTGTGTGTGTTGCTTACCCTTTGCATGTTTAGGGTTTATGGGATTAGGATATGAATAGGCTAGAGCGTAGCAGCGAAGGCCACCAGTGGTGTAGGAGTTGAGTTTATTTTGTTTTGACTATCGAATGTGATGAATTTTTGTATAATTGTTTATAGTTATATATATTTATGTATATATTTACCTAATACTTATTTCTCTCTCTCTCTCTCTCTCTCTCTCTATATATATATATATATATATATATATATTAGATGATTGAGTTGTATTATGCAACATAATAATCATGATAGGTCGTTACATTATTTATCTCTCTTAATTTATTATTATTAGTTATGATATTAGTGACTACAATAATATATTTTTAAAATTACAAAAACTAAAAAAGTAGATTAAATTTGAAGCATTACGTTTTTATATCTTGAAGTCTAAAACAAGTTTTAAAAGTTTATTAATAAAAAATATATATACACACCAAATTTAATGAACTAAATACATAATTAAGCCTAATATATTTTATATTTTTCTTATTTTACATAATAAGAATACATTATTTTAATATGTTGTTCACATAAAATTTTGAACAAATTATACTAATGGCCTAATACAATCAAAATTCACATGATACATTTATCTTTTCCCCCTTACATTAACCTTCTATTAATGCACTCTAAGGCATTTTCTCATTCCATCTTTACCTAAGAAAAGTTATTGCAAAGCAAAACATATGGGTATAAGCGAGTCGGGTTAGATTGGGTTTAGATGAATCCATTATTTAATCCAATCAAAATTTAATGGATTGATCGGGTTTGTGCAATTTTTTTTTTTAAATTCAACCCGACTTGATCATGATCGAGATGAATATTTAATGGATTGAGTTAAGTCAAAATTTATTTATTTTTTGTTAAAATTTAAATATTAAAAATGTATGTAAATCATTTAATACATTACTGCAAATACAATGGATAAATTAAATTTTAAAATAAATTTATTAATTTGTTACATTATTATCAACTAAGAAAAACCAACATTTATTAATAAAAAATAAAATTTAATATAAATATATTATATTGTTACAATATTATCAACCTAAAATTTATTATTAAATAAGAGTAAAAGTAAGTATTATCATGAATAAATAATCATTCAAATACTATTATTATAATAATAATAGACTCATACAATGTCAAATTTTAATCAAGTTAGAGATTGAATTTAACCTAAATATTAAAAAAAAATCCAATATAAATTTACTGAGTTAGTTTGGATTAGTTCAATACCTGCTTACACCTCTAACCTCTAACAAAAACAGGTGAAGCGTTGTGTGAATTTTTAAGAAATTACAACAACAAAAAAGTGCAAACGAAATTTGCAAATTTGCTCTAAAGAGTTTCTCACTTCCAATTAGTAATTAGATAATATCTTGCATACGTTTTTTTTAAATGATTATCATAAAGATTAATTCATTTAATAATAATAAGAGGAGGAAGACAGCCAAATAAAAAGCATTCAAGCATTAGAAAAGAAAAAGGTAAAATTTGGACTTTTTCTAAGTTTCTGCATTCCCTCCTCCTTTACGCCTAAAGTTAATATAATTAGACAAGAAAGTATTTAGAAGGTGTGGACTAGAAACGCTGAAAAGATAAATACAAAATTTCATTACTCGTCATCCACTAGGGTCGCTACACTTAGAAAAGGAAATATATTAATTGTTATTATTAAATTTCCTAGTCTCTTGACTTCCAAACCCAACCCACCAAATTCAATTCAACACCGCGTTGAGCTCAGCAATCACCACCACCACCACTCCCTTCACATCAAATTCATCCACCCGACCCAAACCGCTCACGCGTTTTCCGTTCTCATTACCCACCACTTTTTTATTTTCCATCAATTGCAGATAAACAACAACGACCAATCATTTACAATATTTTATTCTACACGTTATACAAAATTAAAAACCACAAAACACAAAATCAACTCAAGACTGCCGTTATTTTTAATTACTCATTCTACCAAACTGAAACCTATGCATTACTCTTTCTGTTTCTGATACATCCAAAAACAAATTACAATGAATTTGGACGTTGCTCAGAAATTCTGTTAAGAAAAATAATGAAGAGTTTTTTGACCAATTATAATTAATACCTTTTTTGTTACGGGATTATTACCTATATTGATTTTATTTCTATGATTTACTGTAATCTGGGAATATGATGATACAACAATAATTTTTCGTGTTAGAAAACAAAAAAATATTGCAGAGCATGAAATTGAGAATTAGTTGTTGAATGACAATAGAATTAAGAAAAGCAATTACCACAAATTTTTCATGAGAGAAACAATAATTTTCATGATACAATTAGAAAATTAAGTCCTACAGATTCTTCTTCTTCTAATACTACTACTTCATTCTTGAATCTTCAGTCCTAACCTAACACCTAAAGCCAAACACATAGAAAATGTACAGAAGAAGTTAACACCTACGTTATGTGCATTTACAGTCGACTGTTATCTGCTTAATCCAAAGTCCAAACCCTAGCTAGAGAAAGCGTAAAGCCACATAAACGTAACGTACCTTCGAAGAATGGAAACGTTGATCTGATTGGAAGCTAAGAGCGAGCCATCATCTTCTTAAACTCCTCGAAGTTGACGTTGCCATCGCCGTCGGCGTCGACGTTGCTGATCATCTTGCGGCAGTCGCTGAGGGAGCACTTCTCGCCGAGCCTCCGGAGCACGTCGTGCAACTCCTTGGCGGAGATGAGGCCGTTCTTGTCGACGTCGTAGAGATCGAAGGCGTCGCGGAGCTCCTTGGAGTCGTCGTTTCCGGCGTCATTGCAATGGAAGTCGGCGAACTCCTTGAGGTCGATGAAACCGTCGCCGTTTTGGTCGAGCTCCTCCATCATGCGTTTGAGCTCGTCGTTCGTCGTTTTGGAGCCGAGCGTGACGAGCATGTCCTTGAGCTCGGCGATGGAGATCTTGCCGTCGCCGTTCTTGTCGAACTTGTTGAAGATCTGGCGCACCTCGTCGTCCATGGCGGTGGTGAGAGTGAGAAGCGAGGACTCTCCACTCTCTCTTCTCGTTAGGGTTCCAGGTTCTTGCGGTTATGTAGTGGCGCAAACTGAAACGCCTTTAATTCTTGGTTGGTGCATTTATAGTGCGCCGTTTGTTTCACGCGGTTTCTTGTTGCCGAACGCGTTCCTGGGAAACGTAAAAACGAGTTTTGAGTGTACTGGAAGAGAGGGCAACCATGACGTGACCGTTAGCCAGTAACAACCACACGCGTCTCCTGCTACACGTGTGGACCCACCACAAGATTGTTGCTGTAGAGATTTTTGGAAACAATTTTTCCATTATCATTATTATTACTAAGTGTCTTTAATAATTATATATAAATAAATATTAAAAATTATAAAATTTATTATTATTTACATTCAAGAATGTGGAAAGTTTTCTACGAATTTTTTCTCAAGAAATTCTTTAAGAATATTTTTATGAAAAAAATTAAAGAAATTACTACAAATTCTATCAATAATTCTTCAACTTTCAAATGCCCATAATGAATTCATCCGAAACATTTGTTTCCACAAATTCAACATGTGATACATAATCTTTTAAACACTAAGATCGTAATTGTTTTATTTTCAATCAATGTGGGACTTGAAGTTTTTTTTTAAATATTAAACTTATAAATTTAAATATATTTTTTTATTTTCCTGCAGATTAAAATTGGTAGGAAAACTCGCAGGAAAAGTTACCTGTGAAATTTTTCTACCATTTAGTAAAGATTACTTGCGAATATATTTTTGTAAGAAAATTTGCAAGAAATAAAATAAAATTCTTATAATATTTTATGCAAACTTTTACCATGGAAAAATTTTTCCATGATCATTAAAGTTGTAGCAAAATTTGTAAAAATTTCTTGTAGATTATTTTTTATAAAAAAATTTGTAAGAAATATCTGTAAATTATTTTTTGCAAATAAATTCATAAAAAAATTTGTGAAATTATTATTGCAAGAAAATTTGCAAAAAAATTATGCAAATATTTTTTTTAGAAAAATTCACAGAAAAATAACATTTTTTTAGTAGTGACTTAAGCTCAAAGTTTCATAAAAAAAAGTTGAACATCTACTCTCTAATTCATTATCATTCATCTCTAATCACCAATAATCATCATCTAATTTCCTACAACATTTATGATCAACTTATACCTTAAGGTTACCAAACACTTCGTTTTAAAAGAACTAAATCAAAATTCTTTAAAAATAGGACTCTCGTTGGATGCTTAAAGTCTTATCATAGTCCCTCATTGAGTGAGTTACTCTTGAATTCATTATCATTCATCTCTAATCACCAATAATCATCATCTAATTTCCTACAACATTTATGATCAACTTATACCTTAAGGTTACCAAACACTTCGTTTTAAAAGAACTAAATCAAAATTCTTTAAAAATAGGACTCTCGTTGGATGCTTAAAGTCTTATCATAGTCCCTCATTGAGTGAGTTACTCTTGAATTCATTATCATTCATCTCTAATCACCAATAATCATCATCTAATTTCCTACAACATTTATGATCAACTTATACCTTAAGGTTACCAAACACTTCGTTTTAAAAGAACTAAATCAAAATTCTTTAAAAATAGGACTCTCGTTGGATGCTTAAAGTCTTATCATAGTCCCTCATTGAGTGAGTTACTCTTGAATTCATTATCATTCATCTCTAATCACCAATAATCATCATCTAATTTCCTACAACATTTATGATCAACTTATACCTTAAGGTTACCAAACACTTCGTTTTAAAAGAACTAAATCAAAATTCTTTAAAAATAGGACTCTCGTTGGATGCTTAAAGTCTTATCATAGTCCCTCATTGAGTGAGTTACTCTTGAATTCATTATCATTCATCTCTAATCACCAATAATCATCATCTAATTTCCTACAACATTTATGATCAACTTATACCTTAAGGTTACCAAACACTTCGTTTTAAAAGAACTAAATCAAAATTCTTTAAAAATAGGACTCTCGTTGGATGCTTAAAGTCTTATCATAGTCCCTCATTGAGTGAGTTACTCTTGAATTCATTATCATTCATCTCTAATCACCAATAATCATCATCTAATTTCCTACAACATTTATGATCAACTTATACCTTAAGGTTACCAAACACTTCGTTTTAAAAGAACTAAATCAAAATTCTTTAAAAATAGGACTCTCGTTGGATGCTTAAAGTCTTATCATAGTCCCTCATTGAGTGAGTTACTCTTGAATTCATTATCATTCATCTCTAATCACCAATAATCATCATCTAATTTCCTACAACATTTATGATCAACTTATACCTTAAGGTTACCAAACACTTCGTTTTAAAAGAACTAAATCAAAATTCTTTAAAAATAGGACTCTCGTTGGATGCTTAAAGTCTTATCATAGTCCCTCATTGAGTGAGTTACTCTTGAATTCATTATCATTCATCTCTAATCACCAATAATCATCATCTAATTTCCTACAACATTTATGATCAACTTATACCTTAAGGTTACCAAACACTTCGTTTTAAAAGAACTAAATCAAAATTCTTTAAAAATAGGACTCTCGTTGGATGCTTAAAGTCTTATCATAGTCCCTCATTGAGTGAGTTACTCTTGAATTCATTATCATTCATCTCTAATCACCAATAATCATCATCTAATTTCCTACAACATTTATGATCAACTTATACCTTAAGGTTACCAAACACTTCGTTTTAAAAGAACTAAATCAAAATTCTTTAAAAATAGGACTCTCGTTGGATGCTTAAAGTCTTATCATAGTCCCTCATTGAGTGAGTTACTCTTGAATTCATTATCATTCATCTCTAATCACCAATAATCATCATCTAATTTCCTACAACATTTATGATCAACTTATACCTTAAGGTTACCAAACACTTCGTTTTAAAAGAACTAAATCAAAATTCTTTAAAAATAGGACTCTCGTTGGATGCTTAAAGTCTTATCATAGTCCCTCATTGAGTGAGTTACTCTTGAATTCATTATCATTCATCTCTAATCACCAATAATCATCATCTAATTTCCTACAACATTTATGATCAACTTATACCTTAAGGTTACCAAACACTTCGTTTTAAAAGAACTAAATCAAAATTCTTTAAAAATAGGACTCTCGTTGGATGCTTAAAGTCTTATCATAGTCCCTCATTGAGTTTAATAATTATATATAAATAAATATTAAAAATTATAAAATTTATTATTATTTACATTCAAGAATGTAAAATTAAAATATATATTTTTTATAATAAATATAAATATTTATTTTCAATTATTTAAAAACTAATTTTTAATTAATCTTTTTAAAATTAATGTGCTCTCGTCGTAAATAAAATTAAATCTATCTGCTTTAAAATCAATCATATAAATATTTTAATTAGCAAAAATATTAAATATAAATAAAATATATAATATCTTAAATCTTTTATTATATTTAGAGAAGATAAAAAAAGTCACGAAAAAAATGTTTATTTTCAAGAAATCATGAATGTAATTTAATACTATTTATTAGTCATTTAAAAAATTCAATAACGTGTAATTAATATCATTGCACGTGTCAATGAATGTACATTTAAAAATAGTGATATTTTAAGATACATGCCGAAGAATAAATAAAATATTTCTATATAAAAAAATTCTCATAAAATTGTGTAAAAATTAACATGCTTAATTGCAGATTATCTTGCCATTTTTTTAAAAAATAATTTTGCGAATTATGATATCTAAAAAAATTTATTTTGTATTTTATTATTTAACTTTTCAAAATTTATACATTTTTTCATTTAATTATGATATGATATATTATTTGTTGGCTATAGATGGTAAAGTAGACCATAAACCAACATGTTTTTTACTAAGCTATTAAATATTAGTATGACAAAGTAGATATTTTACTTTGTCCTATTTAATTCTTTAATTTTTTAAAATTAAATATTATTTTAATATTATATTAAGATTAAAATATATTTTTAGTTTTTCAAATTTTAAATGAATTTATCTTTAATTTCTCAAATTTAAAAATTAATTATTTTAGTTTTATAATTTCAAAAAAAATATTTTAAATTCTCAGATTTTTAATAATATATTTAAAAGTAATTGATTGAAATTATTATACGATATCAATTTAATTTAATATAAAATTTTCATTAACTCGAACACAAATGCTTGTCCACTTGCTTATATAAGTAGTACGTTTGTTTCTGTAAATCCATTTAATTAATAACCACTTGGTTAACAGGCTATTACGTAAAGTGCTTCACTTGCTAGTTTTAAAGATTTTTTTTTTAATTTTTTTAAAGTTTAAATATATTTTTAGTTTTTCAAATTTTAAATGAATTTATCTTTAATTTCTCAAATTTAAAAATTAATTATTTTAGTTTTATAATTTCAAAAAAAATATTTTAAATTCTCAGATTTTTAATAATATATTTAAAAGTAATTGATTGAAATTATTATACGATATCAATTTAATTTAATATAAAATTTTCATTAACTCGAACACAAATGCTTGTCCACTTGCTTGCTGCCAGCTACAACAAAACAAAGGCCGTTGCAATTCATTTTAAATAAACAATCATTCATTGCCTTCGGTTATTTCATAGATATAAATGGAGACCTCTACTTACAACAATCATTAAATTATTCTTTTAATATTTTGAATTGCTATAACTTGTATAGATTGATTTATGAATCAATTTGATATATAAATATATAATTTGTATAATTAATTTTTATTTGTTGCTTTTTTTATGAATTTAAAGACTCTATGAGTATTTCTAAAAGTATTTATATATTATTCACCAATAAAATTCTCACAAATCAAACTCATATCTTTCTGAAATATAAATTATTTTTTTATCAATTTGATCAATCTTTGTTAATTCTTTGAAGTCATACTTTGTAATTATACAAAATGATAAAATAAATTATATTTTGTCTTTAAAAAAATTAAACAATTATTTTATTTAAAAATTATTAAGATTCATATAATTTAAACTAATTAATTAAATAAAATTGTTAACAAGTTTGAATTAAGTGAAATTTGAATTAGAATGAAATGTTTATATCAAACTCGAATTAAATTATAAGCTATATTAAATATTGTTAAGTCAAGACGAATTAAACTAAATTTAATTCAATTCAATTCATTTTTGACATTAATTATTATTATATATATATTTCATATACTTCTTTCATAACTAATAAAAAAAATTACTTTCAACTATCATAAAATTTCCTACTTTTTTTTATCTCATTCAATTTATTATCTCTTACACTTTTCTTTAAATTAAATTTTAATAATATTTTTTATGAAATTATTAGTAGTTAAAAATAATATTATATTATAATTTAAATTGTTTATTAAAAATATAATTTATAAAAGGATGTCCATGCCTGTTTAGTAGGAATGAATAAGTTAAATTAGAATTTGTTAGACTTGATTATGACTTAATTAAAAGTACATCGAAAGTATATGTTTGTATATTAGGTATTAATATATTTTTTGAACTTTGGAAGTTGGAACTCGTGAACAGCCATTTGAGTATTTTGTAAATGACAATACAAACATGCTCTTATATGTAAAGTATGATCTACAAATTTATTTAAGGACTTACTTTCTAATGATTTAAGAACAAGATACAAATGAAAATAAATATATTAGATTTTTGTAAGAAGAAATCTAACTTTTTTTTTTTCTGAAGAAACAAGTCTATTTTATTTATATATTATAAACATATTTTTAAGGTTAAGTTAAAGTGATCATTTATACAAGCATACTTTGCAATAAAATTTCTAATCGAATAAAAATTTCTTTCAATAAATTTATAAGTTTATTTTCTTTTAAGACAACATGCTTAATATTTAAAAAGATAAATAAATACATAATTTTAATATACTAATTTTTTTAATATAATAATAACAATAGATTTTTTTTTAATAAATAACAACAATTAAGCCTTTGCTTCATTTTTTATAAATATCTTCAAATTAAAATATAAATAAACTTAAATTATTTTTATGACAGAAAATATATCTATTTGAACAAATAAAAAAATAATGAATTTAATAATTATATACTATATATTTTATAAAATTTAATTAATTATTATAAATTAATTATATATAATGTGATTAAAGATAATGTAATTTTTTTCTAAACCTCCGCAAAAAAAGCATAGGACTACGACATAGCAGAGGTAAATTAGTCCTAAATTGGTGTTTGGATCATTGATAATAGTATCTCAATTTCATGATTTCAAATCCAAAATGAGGTTCGCATCAAGATCAAGCCATATATTTTATTTTTTGTGAGTACATCTTAGGCAGATGTTAAACACACATCCACTTTCATATAAACACACCCTCATTTTTTAAAAAAATATATAAAATATCTAAATTACCCTTTTAAAAAAAAATTTAATTCCTAAATTTATACCTCTCTTCTCCGCACCCCCCTTCCCCGCACCCCTCTTCTTCTCAAAGTCTCTTTCCGCTCAATGTCACTAAGAGTAATATGAATATACTTTTACAGTCATTTTGAATAGAAAAAAAAGGACTAGCCCCATCATAACTAGCATAAGAAAGGCTCTTTGCCGGTAAAGGATTTGACTCTGGTAAGTACCCTTTTTCACACACTTTTTTTTTTCTCTTTTTAGTTTTCACATGCTACCAAAATAGGTGTAGTGAAAGAAAGGTAGGGGGGTGCATGTAAAAATTAAAAAAAAGCTAAAATATATGTGAAAAAAAGTACTAAATTAAATATTATGGATGTAAAATTTAAAATTTAAAATAAAAAAATTAAGAATATTTTAAAATTTAATTATTTTTTTTTAAAAAGGATACAGCAGTATCTGATCCATATGACAAGCAGTCCTAAGATTTACAAATAGGCAGATGTTAAATATACCTCAACTCTCGTATAAATACATCCCTATTTTAAAAAAAAAATATATATAAAATGTCTAAATTATCCTTTTAAAAAAAATTTAATTCCTAAATTTACACCTCTTTTATCCGCACCCCTTCCCCGCACCCCCACACCCCACACCCCTCTTCTTCCCAAAGTCTCTTTCCGCTCAATGTCACTAAGAGTAATATGAATATACTTTTACAGTCATTTTGAATAGAAAAATAGGACTAGCCCCACCATAACTAGCATAAGAAAGGCTCTTTGCCGGTGAAGGATTTGACTCTGGTAAGTACCCTTTTTCACACACTTTTTTTTTTCTCTTTTAGTTTTCACATGCTACCAAAATAGGTGTAGTGAAAGAAAGGTAGGGGGTACATGTAAAAATTAAAAAAAAAAAGATGAAAGATATGAAATAAATTACTAAATTAAATATTATAGATGTAAAATTTAAAATTTAAAATTTAAAATAAAAAAATTAAGAATATTCTAAAATTTAATTATTTTTTTTAAAAAAGGAGGTGTACTTATAGAAAAAAAGAGGTGCATATATCACAAACCTACATCTTATGTTCCTAAAGTTGGGCTTCCTCGGACTCTAAGCCCACCTCGAAACAGCTAACCCAAACCGCTTTATGATAATACATTTTCATTAAAAACCAAAGGAAAATTAAATGGCTTCCTTTTGTATTCTAATTTAAAGCTTCTAAGCAGAACAATAAGTACAATAAATGTTATATAAAGTGATACACAAATAAGTGTTGTTATAGATATAATATATATATATATATATATATTTTACATATGTGTATATAGAAACAAGTAAAAAGAAAAATTAACATAATTAAATAACACAACACATACGTTCATATTTTGTAGTTGATGTCAAAATTAAAAAGTGTTAACATACTTTTTTTTAGGGTATGTTCTTAATTTTTATGTCTAATCATTTACACTTTTTATGACATGTTCTTAATTTTTATATATGTGTTTATCATTTACTTTGTTTAGTAGTCTAGAAATAAGTAAGAAATGAGAGGGAACGAGGGAAAGAGTGAAAATGAGAGAATAAAAATAAGTATATATGTTTGATATGTAAAAAATTAGAGAGATAAAAAATACAATTGAGAAGAAAATAGTAAAGAAAAAAAAAACTCATTTGAATAAGTCACACTTTCAATCCAATAAAAGAGCCATTTTCACGTATTGCTGTTTTTTTTTTCTTCAAATGAGCCACACACATTCATTCGTTTTCACATTTTTTATTTACACCTTCATGAAGTCACATTCGAATAACAAGAAGCATTCATTCGATTAATTTTATCACAATCGATTAATTTTTTTTAATTTAATTGATTAAAATAAAATATAATTATTAAATAATTAAATATTTTGTATTTTTATTCCTTTCTTAACTTTCTTATTTATTTTCTCTTTTTATTTTTATATAATTTATTTATCACTTTTTATTTTTTTATTTTTATTTTACTTATTTTTATCCTATGCTTTATTTATTTATATATATACTTTTTATTTTTCACCTATTTCTTTCCATCTTATCAAATATATATAATATTATTTCTCACTTATTTCTCATAAATTAAATAATCAAATCTTCATTTTATTTTTTCTTATTTTCATTCACTTATTTTTTTCTCTCTCTCTCTCTTATATATATATATATATATATATATATATATATATATATA